TGAACAGTTTAGTTTTATATAGAAATATCTCAACATTTGTTTGTTACCGTTGGTTTATTATATAAATTAGTTTGTGTTATATTTATCCACACTGAACAGTTTAGTTTTATATAGAAATATTTCAACATTTGTTTGTTACTGTTGGTTTATTATATAAATTAGTTTGTGGTATATTTATCCACACTGAACAAAGTTTCTACCATCCTTTAAACATTTTAATAAAAACTTCAGTTTTTCTTTAGTATAAGACTTGCTTCCAAAAAATGTTTGACACTTTTATTTTTGTCACATCCTCAGGTGCTCCACCCCCATCCCAACAATTTCAAGGGGTAAGTTGTATCATTTCTGTGCATCTTATAAAATATTATATTGAAAATTAATTTACATTAAAGAATAGGTAGGAAAAAGATGACACCTTGTAATAATGTTTTTTCTGTAGTAGATAGGTTTTGAATGTCAGTTTGACAACTAAATATATATCCTTCTAGTCAAGTTACTGCATTGTATGAAAAAAAAAGTAATGTTTGCTTTTACTTGTTACAATCAAGCGAGCCTACCGAGCTATGTACGACTACACTGCTGCCGATTCTGACGAGGTTTCATTTATGGATGGAGATATAATTATCAACTGTACACCCGTTGATGAAGGTTGGATGACAGGCACGGTGCAACGCACGGGACAGATTGGAATGCTCCCTGCAAACTACGTTGAACCCGTGAACTGATGGAATTTCTTTATAACTTCAAAAAATGTTATATTTTGTATAATGATGATAAGATTAAAGGTTTTTAAGAGAGATCTCAAAAGTTTGCCCTTAATGATGTGGTTCTATAACAAGATAAAAATTAAGTTTTATTTTATTTTTATGATTATAAGAGCTGGATAAAATACTGTGACTTAATATGAAATCATATAATAGTTTAAAAAAAAGTCAGAGTTTCAATAAGATTTGTTGTCTAAAAATAAACCTAACTTTCTCTTCATTCTATCCAAAAGTATTTAGTGTAAAAATCTACAAAATGTTTATTATTTCATTCCTCTTGGGTCTTAAACTTTCCAGTTAAATGATACATTGAGGTTATCCATGTTTGTATAAATATGTTAAAAAAAATTAATAATAATTATCAGATATATTCCATATTTGCTTCTGAATAGATAAGATTTATATTTTACAAAATATTCTATGTTTCTATATAGTTAATAACTCACAATAAATGTCTTTTATGTAACATTATATAATCAGTTTTATTCTCTAGGTAACAGTTTACATTTGTTTACGGTAGGATTTAGAGTTTAGATTGTAATTTATTTCTAAAGAAAAATATATGTTTTTATTTTTGAGGTAATTTTGGTTTGATTTTTATCATAAATATTAATCTTTTATTGATTATGTCCTGGATTGTAATTTTAAGATTTTTTTTTTTTCCTTAAGGATTAGCGTTATTAATTAAAACTATATATTGATACGAGTGGTATTCTTGAGTTTTTTTATGCATCATGATATTTCACGATGAACCTGTTTTCTAGTACTGACGTGGCATGCCGAGAGAAATGTTATCTTTATATATATATATTTCATGAAAATAAAGTATGTACGTTAAATTTCTAATTGTATTTTTACCACATTTATGCAAAAAATATTCAAGTGATAAGCTGTTTTGTGATCTTTTGCTATGCACCTGTTCTATGCCACTAAAGCTTCTATCAAAATGATATATATATATGCTCAAGGAAATTGTTCCAGTATTTCTTGTGTTGATATACTTAATACAGTTTGAATTTAATATATGTGTACGTTTTATTTTGTGTTAGCACGTCTTTGTTTAGTTATGCTGAATTTAAGATCATATAACTGATAACTTTTGTTATTTAGTCTGAGCCATTTGTAAGTCAATTTTATTTGAAGTTAAAATAAATAGTTAAATTTTGATGTTGCTTATACTAAATACTTTGTATAAGACAATGGCTAAGAAAACAATTGGATCAATCCTAATTCATCTCCCTCTAGACTAGCAGGGAGTGTATGTGACACGATAAAAATTAGTTTTTGTAGGTTTATTATGATCAACCTAAGATGCATCTAAATAGTGTTTTGTTTTATAAAAACAAATAGGAAATAATACATTGATAAATGGATATTTTTACTTGCAAGACATTATGCCAGATTACAAAACATATTAGTGAAAGAGGTGTGAACTTCAAAAACAACAACAACAAACAAACTGAAACTACTTCACTGGCAGCTCCTTTCTTACTTTATTGTAAAATTACCTCGTGAGTTAAGACATTTGTAAGCTCTGGATGATGAAATATTTCAATATCGAGAAACTGGAACCAACCATGTATCACAAACAGGAGAATGAAAAAAAAACACGAGATAATTCTGGTGGACTGCAATATGTGTAAAGCACAGAAGAGTTCTTTGTTTCTCCAACAAAAGTTGCTGGAGCTTTACCGTATTACGTACTAGCATAGAGAGATGATCAAGAGTTAAAGTTCTTGTAGTCCTAGACTATGTCGTCAGTGATTGTTCTCATTGTACATCTTTCAAGGGATGTTTACCTCCTAGCTCATACTAGCGTGTACAAACCCCGTCACTAGGGTATGACTAACAGTTCAGGGGACTATCATACTGAGTGAGTGTAAACACTATAGATTGCCCACTGTGGTATGTAACCTTATTCGGAGGTAAGGTTTATAACTTCTTACTGTCTGTTCACGAAGACCTTAACTAAATGCAGAAGATCTGCATGAAAAATGTTACTTAATATACTTGAATAAAGATAGAATCCATCAGTTTATAGTAAGTTAGAAGGTTTATTATGGTGGTAGGTACAGTACAGACAGTTCTTGTGTAAAGTCCCAGTCCAGTCGATGATAACAAAAACATTCCATGGCGGACTACAAGCAAGTTCCAAGTAACTATCGCCAGGACTAACTTAACAAATACAGTACACAAGTTCTTGCTAGTTTCATTGTACAAACCATACTTATCTCTAGTACTATGCTGAATAGTTTCCGACCACCGTTTTGTTAATTGTTCCGACTGAGGATTTCTGGTTTGAGTGTCATCGGTAATGTATATAGTGTAGTTGGAATACCATTATTATTGTTGAAAATCCCTAGATAAAGAATGTAATAGGCCTTATATGAAATGTGTTTGTTTGTCCTTTCAAACTTGATTCAGTTAACTAGGAATAATTTGGGATGTGTCAAAAAGTTATCTTTCTTTTAAATGGTATAGCTTCAGTGATGCCTAAATATAGATTAGCTAGTGGGTTCAAGAAGTCTTGATACAAGATGATAAAAACCCATTGCCCCTGAAGAAGAAGGGTCCACATTTTTGAAAGTGCTCGGGTTATAGGGTTTTCTTCATCTTGATTAGTTAGTGGGATTTCTCCAGTTTCCTCTTTTATTACATACTGTCAATCATTACTGGCATATTTGGGGCCAAAACAAACAATTTATATTCGTAACTGGTAAAATGTTATATTTCATTTTTAAGTTCCATTAATCATTTCAGAGGTTTATTTTTCACACATTGTTTATACGTACTTTCGAGATAGATGTACTTATGTTGAGTTTTTAAGTCACATTTTACATATTGCTTTTGGATAATAAGAAAATAAATTATTATTTCAATAATCAAGGAATACATCTGCATATATAGCCACAAACTCTAGTAAAGATATAGCTATGACCTTTCTCTGTCAAATGAACATTTCACCGTGTCTGCACGAGTACATCTGTTAGGAGGTAGATACTAAAATATGTTTTACATTAACACTTACAACAGAAAAGACTGAGCAACGTTCCCACTGCTATTCTGTAATGTCGAGCAGGTGAATTAAAATAGTAAATTAGTTAGCCTTTTCATTAACCGTTTAGACATTTTTGTCTGGGAAGAGTGCAAATTGGAACAAGTCTGATTACTTATTTACTGTAGTGCATATTTTAATACTAGAAATAAATAAACTTATAACACTAAATTGTTGTTTTTATTTAATTAAACACTCATTGTTTAGCTTTGTCTAAAAATAAAAACATTTTGGTGTTATATCTATTTCTAGTGTTAAAAGTACAATTACTGTTAATCAAAATTCATAACGTCATTATTCTACGAACATCCATACATATATGTTAAAATATTAAAAGCATCTGGCTGAGTTAAGCCAATCACACGTGTTCTCAATGACTTTAAACATGTTAATATTCTTAATTTCTTATATATATTTTTAAATGATATAGTTACTTTTGAAAATACATTAGTTAACTTGGATTAGTCTGTGGCCAAGTTTACAGTTTGTTTCCTCAGTTGCTACAGGCCAGTAAAATACAATTATCTCTTATTGAGATCTTTGTGTAAAAAACAAAACAAAAGTAATAAATTAAATACTAAAAAAATAGCAGTAGGTTTCTGCTGACAGGTTGCCTTGTTGTGGTTCGATATACATGATAACCCTACATTCCAGGCTTAATTGAGCACTGACAAAAGTATTACTATCACATATACACTTTTTATTTATACAAATGATTGGTACAGGACTATAATTGAGGGAAGTACAGCTGGTGCATCGTGTAGAAACTCGTAGCATAGTATGTACCCATAATCGATAGGCCTAATAATGTTACCTATGCATACAATATGTAGTAATAACCTTATAATGGGCCTAACTAACAATAACTACCCCGAATAATCACTATATTCAGTGTTTAAAAACATACACCCTACAGGTGTATGCATACACATAGAAAAAAACTTTTGTTTTCATATTTAACTATTTACAAACTTACAGCACTCCAAAAAAGGCGAATAAGATGGACGAAAGTCTGTTTATTTTGAATCAAATCGATACCAGATTGATCACAAAATTGCAGTGTAATTTACAAAACATTATATTTTAACTTTTGTTTCCACAAATCAACATATCTTTGTGCATGTTGCCATCTAAATTAGTAAATAAGTCATCAAGCAAAATACTAGAACATATTGTGAAAAGTCTCGCGAAACACTAAATTTTGTAAAGGAAACGGTTAAAAAATTTACTTTCCAGAATGTTTCAATTTATGTGCCATGCTAGGTTACCTTTTAAAAAATATACTTGAGAAGTACAGAATAATATGAATAGATATTGGTTAAAAAAAAATATTAGACAAAAAAAATTTTCATTCTGTTTATTCTCTAATCAGTTAATGAATCTTATCTCATTCCATCAATCAAGTATGTTTTAACGTAGTATATTTAATCCTGATCATTGTTCAGTTGTGGTGATTGATTTTAATTGTTATAAGCTATATTTTTAACATTTCAAGTTAGATGTTAGCTAGAGGGCAAATGATGTTAATGTAGGCCTAGAAAGTTTTAAGAAATGACAGTAGATTATAAGTGTGAGAATTATTGTCTTTTTGCTTTCAGTTAGTAGTGAATTAGTCATTCAGTGAAGTATTTTCATCAGTTACATTTAGTGTATATTCATTTACTTGATCTACAGTCTCAAAATTGTACAAATAAGTTTATTTTTACGTTAGTCATAGTATCATTAATGAGGTATTTCAGTTTAAACTTGGACCTAAAAGCTATGACAGTATATAAGTGTAAGCAGCTTGTAGAAACGTTAAGGAAGAGATGATTGTTTGAGGGACTGTACTTGGCCTGATTTTCACCAGATAATTTAAGAGAACATACCCAATGAAAGAACACTAAGTTTGTTCTACATGCTTGGTCGAGCCAAAAGATTAAAATAGCTCCTCCATTTTAATGTTCAATTTATATCAGTATTACCCAAAACTTTATCAAATGTCTACTGTAATCTTATGATTTTAGTTAACTGTTAGACAATGCATTGAGACCTGAACTGGAATTTATATCAGTATTACCCAAAACTTTATCAAATGTCTACTGTAATCTTATGATTTTAGTTAACTGTTAGACAATGCATTGAGACCTGAACTGGAATTTATATCAGTATTACCCAAAACTTTATCAAATGTCTACTGTAATCTTATGATTTTAGTTAACTGTTAGACAATGCATTGAGACCTGAACTGGATTTGTGATTACTAAAGAAACAACCCGTTCGAACTCTTGCATTGTTTCTGTTGTCTTGTGGAGTATGAAGGTTCCAAAATCAAAGTTCATTTAAAAAAAGTTGTTAGAAGAAACTATTAATGTACATTAAGAAATTTCTTGTAACCAAAACTTTTAGTTACAAATAAAGATACAGTGTAGTCAGCAATCTATGAAAGTGATTGGATAAACATTGGTCACTAGGAGGTGCAGTTAAACGCATAGATGGATGATTACATGCAACTTTTGACATGACCACCATTGTTGTCCATGATGCTTCTAATCTTGATACAGGGAACCAACGGATGCTATATCAGGGCCATCACGTTGGTAAAATCAAGATGAGTAGAACAAGTTGACCCTGTGAAAGGATCTCCAAACCAAACACAATGCCATGACAGGTCGTTCAATATGGGGAGGAGCAGTAACTTGCTGGAAAATAGTCACAATCAAAACATCTTTTCCTCAAATTCAGAAATAATTGTCTAAAACTCAATATGATTGATGAATGTGGTAGTAACTCCAAACAACTGTTCTCCTCATGCTGGGGGCTGTTGCACTATAGCAGGTGGGTTTGCTTCTCCCCCAGATAACATGACTTCAGGTGTAGGCCTGGCCAAGAAGAGCATTAGTTCATGAACTTTGTTGAAGCCATATGTCACCAAGTCAGGAATTTGAGAGCAAAATGGTCATTGATTTTCATTTTCTGGTTCCATTGCACAGGCTCTGTATGGATATAAGATATTCAACACCTTCTAGAATTGTTGTTTAGCAATGTCCTAGCTTCACTATTCACATGCAGTTGTTTCCACAACATTGGGCACTGTCTTCCTAATTTCCATAACAACTGATGTTGGATTGGAAACCACAACAATTTCATTTGTGCAAATTTGTAGTCAATTTCTGGTGAGCTGCGTGGCCCTCTTGCAGGCACAAGCTTCACGTCAATACAATATCAGTGGTGTAATAATGATTCACATGCTGATAGATTCTCTCTAGAGGCCATCTCAGAAAAAAGAACAAAATAGTGAACCAGAAACATTTATTTCCATTGCTCTTATATTATATTCTCTATTTGCCTGTAAGTAGACATATATATCTTCAAGCGACCATCAATTCCACCCATGGCATTTTATCCATCACTGAATTAGTAACTGTATCAAATCTCATGCCTTACAAATGTTTACTTTTGGAGTTATGAGATTTGGAATAGGCCAAATAAATAATCTTCATTAAAGATGTTTACAGTTGTTGCCGTGACTCTACGATTCATTACGAAATTAAATATGAGAACTGGAAAAATCAACTAGAAGCAACAATCAGTATTAAAATAAACTATAATTTAAACAACAACATATATTTCATGTTATCAAGAGAAAAAAGTACCAAAAACAAAATAAATTGTACTTCATGCTAACTTGCCCAAGTTAAACTCTTGATACGTTAACTTAACATTGTTAAAATCATGTTAACTGTTGTTAAATATCACATCTTAATGATAAACAAGTTATCTGTGTATCAAATATATTGTTGTAAGAGATATCTTGTAACAAGAACATTGTTAAATCATGTTAACTGTTGTTAAATATCATGTCTTAATGATGAACAAGTTATCTGTGTATCAAATATATTGTTGTAAGATATATCTTATAACTTTGTGTCAGGAACATTGTTAAATCATGTTAACTGTTGTTAAATATCACATCTTAATGATGAACAAGTTATCTGTGTATCAAATATATTGTTGTAAGACATATCTTGTAACTTTGTGTCAGGAA